AAATTTCTCGATTGTTCGTTTATCAATACCACCACATTTATAAATTAAATGTCCGGTTGATGTTGATTTGCCCGAATCGACATGACCAATAACGACAATGTTTATATGAATTTTCTCTTTACCCATTATTTGATTTTATATGCAGATGTTTGAAGCGTGGTGGAACCGATGAGATTGGATTTTAATAAAATCTGTAATAAGTGTAGAGGAATGTATTATTGCACAGAATGTATTTCGATACATATATTTATGTGACGAATAGGTTGATGGGATTACGCAAGTCTGAATTGCACAATTATTCATGGGAATACGGAAATAAAAGATGAAATGGTTGGAAAACAGTGGTGTAAACTCTCCACCAATAATTTGTGAAATTGTCTCGCCTTCTAGAAGACACTGGATTACTTCTATTTGGTTGTATGATGTTCTGCAGAGGTTCGCTGTTTTTAAATTTTTTTTTAAGGCTTATGTCTATTACGAACCCTACCTGTTTACTAAAAACTAGACGCGCATGTTTGTTGTGGAAGCAGAGGATTTTGTCGCAAAAAGAAACAAACACGGGATACAAAAGAAAATAGAGCAATGCTCAAATATTGCTTATCTCTTGCTATTCACGGCAACTCTTCGTCATAAGAGATAAGAAATTTCAAGGCTGAAGGGCTTTGTTAGGAATAACCTTCTCGAATGATGTATCATCGCCGACAGAAAAAAAGAAATTGCTGATGAAATGTAATGAAAGCTTTTGTTGAGTCTAGTGAGAGATGGAAATGGGTCCAAATATAACTCAGGCTGCAAGTTTAGGTTGCGATTGCGATTTGAAGTGCTCGGTTCTAGGAAAGTAGTTTTGAGAAAACAAACGTTAACTTTTTGTGGCTGAGAACCAACCGGAATTGAGACACTAATGCGCTATGGGTTAGAGCAAACTAGTAAAACTAAAGAAGTGTTTGCTTATTTAGTACAACTTTATTGAAATGGTTGAGAGAAATGAAAGTTATTGTTTAACATAATCTAATGACTATTGAAGTATCGTAGGTATCTTTCATGGTGGATGAGAAGCCAATCATCGTGATGAAGAGATTTGAATAGGGTGCGAACAGTTACGCACTGTTTTTCTAGCCATAGCCAAGCGTTGGCGATAATACCAGTGATAGTGTTTTCTATCATAGGATGGCAAGTTCAAACTATGAACTACCAACTCCGCAAAAAAAGAGCTGGATAGTTTAGAGCAGCAAACGTGAAAATTCTCCTCAAAATGCAAGCTTTGTGCTTATATCGTAAAAAACACCTCCGTCTATGTTCTACGATGCACACGTATCATTTCCATCCTTTGTCCTCCTAGTGTACTATTCATTCCGTATTTTAGTGGCGTAAGACGTAAGGCGACGTTTTCTGACGAGATCATTTTTTCCCGTTCTCGTCCGACGTAAACTTTTTCATTCTTTTCCGTTTTACAGTATTCGTGGCCTTATATTTAAATCACACAGATCACGAATACCGTAAGAACGATAACGTAAGAAAGACGTGTTTTACGTCTTACGGCCCATCACTAATAGGGTGTGATACAGGGTAACGGTTGTTTTCCGCTAGCCGTCAACTGACGGCTAGCGGCAACAACCCAAGGTAACGCCGTTGTAAGAAGTTACCTGCCAATAACAGCTGCCAGTAGTAGGTAACTTTACTTTTTACATTACTACTTCTGGTTCTAACCTTAATTGTCTTTATTTTGTTATTTTTTATTACTCTTTTGGTGTTGTTTGGCTTGAGTCATTGTTATTACAGGTCGGTGACCTTTGATGACTCTCACTTTTCGTGAATAAAACAGTCTTAGTCTTAGTCTGAGCTTCAGCTATTGATGAGAGGTAGCTGCCAGCAGAGAAATGTGTAGAGGTCAAATATGGTCATCTAAATAATGAAAATTTCTCAACTTTAGGTGCTTGTTTCTAGTAATAAACCACCTCGTAACTCAAGTCTCTTGACAAAATTATATTTTCTGAGGAAGTAAGAAGAGAAAAGTTGAAAAACGGCTAGGCCAGGCATATATAGGCGGCATCTCGACGAAGAAACTGATTGATCAATTTATTCAATGCGCCCTTTCGGTGGGCGTTTGCTGGAGGTTTATCTAAAATATGTTATGAATTTTTCTCTCATTTGTTGTGTAAGATTCGTAGTCTACTGTAAATCTAAAAGCTTTCTGAAGATCCTCCAATGCTTTCTAAAAGTCTAAAAAATATTTCTGAATCCAAGAAAATGCTCATGCCCCCCTCTGGTCGGCATTCGCCAACCAGGATAGCCGAGAAATGTTGTGAACTTCTCTGATTCTGAAAAACGCATAACGTAATATAAGGCCAAAACGTTTTCTGGACACCCTCTGAAGATTCCAAGCGGGCTGGCAGTATTTCTAATCGATTCGATATGGTACACTATCTATATTATGTAAGTTTTATTATTCGTAGACAACGTTTTTTGTGTTTTCAGATTCAGGTTGATTTCTGGCGACATGTGTCGCAGGACTCCAGAAAGAGTTTGCTTAGATTAGACAGACACACAGATAACCATTTTGTAAGATCCTAGACTAAAGTCAAGGGAATCTACAGATTTTCAGCCAAACAAAAGGGTATATTGACGGTCACTCTTACGTCAAATGAATTTATCAAAATGTCTTTCGCCCTTCACTTTGAAGTAGCTTCTGGAGGATGTTTCGACTTAACTAAGTCTAGACTTCAGTCTTCGTTTTGTGCACTTACGTGTTAATTTTATACACTTAACTCTAGTTAAGTCGAACACTTAAGAATTTGTATAAAACACCCTCCTGGTTCTTTGCAAGAAACAGGGCCGCTGTTCTTAATTTTGTTGTTTGTTTTCAGCAGTTCCAACAAGATTTTAAACAAGAGTCTGGTTTTTAGTTATCTTTCAATGCTTAAACGAAACTTAATAATTTTGCAGGTTTTTCCAATTAGATTTGATGGTGAAGTTCAAAAGTTGTTTGTCGTTTATCTCAATAATATGTCTTATGACATATACTCATTATACTATTCTACTCGAGAATATGAGACTAAAACAAATATCCGACAACTAACTTCAGATGTGTCATCTACAATCCGTACACTTTCGAATCATCTTTTTCGCAAACCTATGCGATCAGAAATAACTGAGAACGAGTGCCTGACTTGAACGAGAAAGCACGGTGTGGAAAGAAAGAAGAATTTTTCTGAATGAAAAGCAATAAGTCTCCTTGAGTTTCACGCAGTCGACTTAAAAAGATAATTCAACATTTGAAAATATGTTGTAAGTATTACTGGAAAAAATCACAATCAAATATTTTCTTTCCATACTGAACATTGTGATATTAAAAGATCATTTAAAAATTTAGATAATAAAATAATTACCTTAGTAACAAAAGAAGTCTCTATGTTCTACACATTTGTTGAACGTATCTAATTCTAAAACTTATTTTGCATGACACAGGAATTATATGCATCACTTTATTTGTCAAAGAATATCTAAAATCGAACAGATATCAATTTGATATCTACTCCACCAGCTTTTCATTATCTGATTAAATGATTTTGCCATATTCATTTGAATATGATAACGACAGATTAATGTTTGTTGAAATTTATTCATATTTTGTAAAAATAACAAAACTAATTCATGAACATACAACAGACCATCGTTATTCATCAATCGAACGGAATTTTTTGGTAAAATCAAAATTTCAATTGGTTTTCTCAATGTAGGTGGCATTAGTTGTGTGATAAATGAATAAAATAATGGATCATGTATATTATCTTGTTCATTAAGTTTTCGTTTTACACCCTTACTTATTGTTGTCCAGTAACTACTATCATCTGCTTGATTTGTGTTATATTGACAAAATCTCATCCCTTGTTGTGATAATGATGATTTAAAATTCGTATCTAAATTGAGAAATAATATTTTCTATAGAGATCCAATCAGACTTGCACTATATCAATCATACCCCATACATCGTGTAATGTATTATTATTGGAATGTCGCTGATCTTTTAACTCGTTTTCAATTGTATCCATTGAATCAGCCGAATAATCTGAAAATTGATTATTATTATACTGATGTTGCTGTTTTTGATGTAAAACTATTCTATTTATCGATGAAGTTAATTCATTATCATTCATATATCGTATTTTATTATTCAAATAAATTGTCGATGAAAAATTAGAATATTTTAATGATTTTTTCGATAGCAAATCTTCAGCTGATACTATCACTGGCACCAATGTAGTTCTTATTATTTGATATGTACCAGATTGTTGTTGCGCACGATGTAAACGGTTATTATTATTATTATTATTATTATTATTTAAATATAATTTATCAAATAAATGTGTGTAATCTTGATAAATATCTTGAAACAGTTTACACGAGCGAACATAGGATGGACAGACAAAATGTTGAACTTCTGAAACGGTGGTTGATAATAAGTCTAATGATGAAGCTTTAGATGCTAATTTTAAATTGGACTGTTTCATTATCGGATTATAAGAATCATAAGATTTTTGAATAATTAAGTGTGTGTCGGATTTTATTATTGTTTGTGTATTATACGTAATTAGTGTGACAGTCGAAGATGAGGCTTGTGTTGATAGACTAATTGTACTTTGAGCTCGTCTCAGTTTTATATCAAAGTTTGTATTTACTAATGCTTTGACTAAAATAGTCACAAAGATTTAGATACATTGTTAACATTGTCGAGTGAATTACCATTTTTCTTTGAGCATGATCGAAATTCATTTCCATAAATAGTCTGTGTTGCACATTCAATTTGTTTCGATGTTTCTGTCGATACAGCACAATCAATTTTTGATCGGCTTTTTATTGTACAACAAATAATTGCTGATGATTCACTCAACTTTAATAATTTACGCTTCTCTTTTACAATCTTTTTTTCTTCTAATAGTAATATTGATTTTTGATTATCAAGGTCATTCGAAGTTATCTGAGGAACATTCGACAATAGTGTTTGTTGAAGTACTTGTTTCAATGAATTCATTTTATCAATTGTGTATGGTGATTTAAATACATTATAAAGTTTTTCAATCATATTTTCAGCGATAAAATTATTATTACTTGTTAATTTTGGTAATGTTTGTAAACGTTCATTTAATCTTACTAATGTTGCCAATGACTTTTGTAATTCATCACTGTTTGATTTTGTAGATGTCTTTTTGTCTTCATAGTTATTCTTAACGATATGAGAGAAAAAAGATTTAGTGTTGTTTTGCTGTTAATCTTATACAAAGGAGAGTTTTTCGAGAAGTATGTTTTTTACAAATGGTATCTCATGCAACAGTCAACAGTCTCGAAGTTCAAAAACTAAGAGAATATTATTAATCATTTCGATGTTAGAAACTTGCTTTATCAGTATCAAAAGCTTTGCTGAAAAACTTTCTCGTGGATCACGTGTATTCTACCTCATTGTCTAATTTGTTGATTGAACAATGTTGTTGTTCAATCAAATTTTCATCTAACAATTGAGATCTAACGATATATGGTGATTGTTGAATATTTTCTTCATCTTTTTCGATGACATTGTTTTCTAATAAGAACCGTACACGTTTTAGTGATTGTTCTCTCATTGGTTTTTGCTGTTCATTTGAATCGGTTTGTAGATTATCATTTTCACAATTTGTCGTGATGATATTTGTATACAATTCATCAACAATTGAACGTATAACATTCTTTGTTTGACAATCTTGTAGTGAAAAAGAAGATGATGATTGTGTGCATGAAGAAGGAGAATATATCGATGATGTGGATGAAACAGATTTTAAACTATTTTTCATTTCATTGACAATATTTGCTTCTAACAGTCTTAATGCAGCTGCTCGAGATCGCGTAAAATGAGATGAAATATTTTGTTCTTGAGATGTCAGTGTTTTATGCATTCTTTCGAAAAAAATATCAAATAAAATCAATCATGTAACATCATTCACTATGCAACAACTAATTTAAATTTGACTGAAAAGTAGAATTTATACATATTCTTTAATAGTCACGCGCCACAAAAGTGACTTGATTTAAATGCAAAAAATTCAACACCGTAGTGTCAAAGTCTAAAGCACACATACAAAATTCGTGTTGTATCCGTATACTGAAAAAGAGGTGATTTCAGGCCCCTTAAAGGCAATCTCATTTCCGATTAATAAGAAGATATTTCCATGTAAAAGATGCATCATGAGGCCTTATGAACGCGGCTGGATTCCAGTTTTATGCATCCATAGTGTCTACGTGAGACACTGTGGATAGATAGTCGAGGGAGCTTGGATGCATTCTCCCATGTAAATTAGGTGCATTTTTGTTCAGAACCAACGAACAAGTTTTCGCAGAGATAGAAAAATTTTACTTTCTAATTCAATAGGAAACTAAAATGTTTCAGGTTTTTGAACACTAAAATTTTTCTCTATACGAAAACTTGTTCGTTGTTTCTGAACATTTTCCCACATCGGTAATTCAAGGTGCTCTACAATCTGGCAGTGCCAAAATATGTTCAGCTGGAAGTTCATAGTGAATCGTTGGACACCCGGATTTCAGGGACCCATCCAAGAAAGGCCTAGTAGCAGAAACCGATATCAGATTCGCGATCAGCATCAAAGATTACTCACAATCGTGTATGCTTTAAGGAACAAGCGGTTGGACACTTGGGAAGGTTCCTCATTAGATGCATTTGATAGACATCACTAATACATCAAAAAAGCACAATGCATTAACTACAGTCAAGATTTATAGTCGTCCAAAAGCCACGGAGAAATCATGTAGTCACATTCAAGACAACGGAAATACATCGAGACTGTTGTTAGATACAGAATTATCCTGGTACCTAGTCAAGACATTTCTAGCAAGAGAAATGGAGAGATAAGTTTTTCCAGAAAAGTGTATTAGCTGCGTTGTTTCTTTAGCCACTATAGTGACTATCATACTCTTGAACAGACGATTTCTAATCTGTTGCTTATTTATTAATTATGTTAGACTCGTTCAAATCAAATAGATAAATTAATCAAAGAATCTGGTCAGAAATCAACCATCCTCCCCAAACCTCAAAAAAAATCGAGTATCGCCCGATTCATCCAGATTACTAGATTTTTACTCGATTGCAACTGTTGAGTGACGACAGTGAAAATCTAGTAATCGGGCGATTACCAGATTTTTTCTAGTTGCAACTGTCGATTTATCGCCCGATAATCGGGCGATTTAATTACTACTAGATGCACCTGTAGACGCATCTAGTTAAAAGTCCCTTTTCCAACTAGTAATCTAGATGACAACTAGTCCTGTATCGCCCGATAACAGACGAAATGTATCTAGATTTTTCCCATAGATGATGTTTGCCTGAGTCACCCCACAGATATTATAAAATGAAAGCACCTTGTTATTGAATAACTACTTTGATGTTGATATGTTGAGATCTTTTCCCTTTTGATTATAAAAAATATATGACATGCTCTATCTTACAGTGCTTTAAATACAGAAAAGGTCATAATACTATTCAATACACTATGTTTAAACCAATATATCTAACCAGATTTGGTTGCATTTAGCTAAATTTAGTGTTTCCTAATCTCATTTCAACTTTGTTTCTTTTCAAAAGGGAAATTTGATAATTTCTGACCAGGTGCTTTATATGGAACCGAAAATCGAATTAAAACCGGTAGTTTGGCTATTCGCTATTTGCTGTCCCAATATATACACTCAGATATATTTGGACGTTAAAAATCCTCTCACTAAACCCTGTCTTGCAGCTATAGCTCGAACAGAGGTTAAGCTATTAGTATATGTGATCTTTTATAAATGAGCCAAGATAAAATTTAAATAAGCTTTGTCATGCACACTTCTCTATCAATGGTACATCTGATCAAGATGGTTCCTTCACACTTTATGTTCAGTATATTGTGTAGATGTGCCCTTTCATCAGACAAAGATTTAACTGATCTGTATTTGTTGAGCTATTTTGGAAATAGCACATTTTTTTCCGTATGTTTTGAAATCTATTTATCTTATGACTCATACGCGCACAGTAGATAATTAAAATAGATATAATGATAGAGGACGATCAGGTTTCAGTATGAATCATTATGAAATCGTGAGACAGGGACTGATCTACCAAGATCTTGTTTCCTAATCCGTTTATATTCAGGAAGAGAATCTAACGTTCTATCTACTGAACATAAACATTTATTTATTGTCCCTATGTAATAAGGTTGACAATTTAGACGAAAAAAAGATAGACAATATACAAAACAGAAAAGGTATATTTAATAAAAGAGAGGATTTTTGACATCAGTCTGATAGTGGTAGTGAGAAACAACAAATAAGAAATGAGAAAGAGAAAAAAAAAAAGAAAAAAATACATACACAAATAAATAAATACATAAAACATTAAGCACATAAGTAAATTTAAATATTTTGATTATAGCAAGGAACAATTACTGTTAGACATATAATCTAATAACATAAAAGCGTAGTAAAATTCGTATTAGACACCTCAGAAACTAAATCCTAGACCTATAGAATTATATGTTTGTTTATAGGGGTTGTAGAAAAAATTTATAAATGAACATGTGAATATAAGGGGAATATGGGGAAGGGGGGGGGAGCATCCATATTGTGGAGTATGATTAGAAAGAAATTCAATGATATCCAGTTTTGTGTGTTTAACTCTGCTTGTAAGTCTACACATAAACTTATTTTTCCTGCAAAACAGTACAGAACGGCACCAACTCCTTTTGGAGTTTTCGCCGCCAGAAATGCTGCCTCCGTCAACTGATATTGCGTCGCTTCGTGTGCTGTCTCTAAATATTTACTGTACTTAATCCAATAACGATACAAATATTCTCGTATAGTGAACTCCTGGGATAAAATTATAGTAGTCATATCATCCCAGCTATATAGGTTATAAACAACTCTTAGACCTGAGTAGAACACGTGCTCGATGTATTTTTGCTGAATATTGGTAAAAAAAAACCAAGTTGAAAATAAAAAAATAAGGTGTGGTAGCGCATAAGCTAAGAATAATATACGTCGAATATTTATAAAAATTACTGGAATATTCCGGAAAATTATTCTTAACGCATTATATATATTTCTTATTGAACGTATACGCATAGCAATAAAAATCCCCCATCCGAGTTTAGTTGTTATATATACTCTGAGATATTTAAAAAATTTGACATATTCAATCTGTATACCACGGTATTTAATAATCGGATAGCACGGTGAAACAACACTGAACCAGCATACCTTTTGTTTTTTGAACATTTACTGGTAAAGAGAATATTTTATTTTGTTCCTCAGAATATTTCGCTAGGATTTCTATCGCAATTTCCGCTCTTTTTTCGATCTCTATAACATTTTGTGAAAATCTTTTTTCTAATGCTCCTGATATTACAATCGCAGGGTCGTCCGCAAAAAGATGACACACTAGATTCATAAAAAGAGAACGAAGAAAATGAATATGAAGGCGGAAGAGAGTGGCAGCTAATACCGATCCTTGTGGTGCACTCCCAACGCAAATATCTATAACACGGGAGATAGCTTCCCCGAAATAGACTAACATTGTTCTTTCCTGCAACCACAGGAAAATCCAGCAAAGAAGAGGAAGTGGAAGTTCCAACCCTTGGAGTGTTTTTAAAAGTGCTGGGTGTCACATTTTGCAGACATAAAATCAACAAAGATGACTAACGCGGGCCTATTGCACGCTGCCACAGTCAGCCGTAGATCTTCAATTAGTGAGAGAATTCTTGTTTGCAGTCTCCTTTCAGGAGTAAATCCGGATTGTTCATTCACGTATACCCCTTTCTCCCTACACCATTTCAGTATTCTACTGTGTGCTACACGTTCATACCACTTTCCGAAATTTGATAACAGTGAGATAGGTCGGAGCCTATCTCACTGTTATCAAATTTCGATATCAAATTTGTTATCAAATAGCCCTTAGAGAGACATATGACCCTGCCATGCTTACTTGATTTGAGTGCTGTTCCTAACTGAGCAACTTTGTTGAATCCTACCGTTACAATTTTTAAATACTCTACCGGAAGTTATTTTAACATAAAAGCAGATGTACCTTCGTAATCGAATGATTTCTTTTTTTGTATCTTTAACCATGTTTCTTCCATCTCCTCCATAGTAATCTTTTCTAATGGAATATTAGGTGTATACGAAACGTTTTTGTAAACTTCAACCGCTTCCACATGCGCCGATATTCTTGGATCATGTACTGGAGCTTCGAAGTATTTTTCATAAAAGTTAGCTAGCGTATCTGCAATTACTTGATGATCTTTTAACACTCCATTTTCCACTGTAAGTCCTCGGAACGGTATTGAATATGGATGAAACGTGAGACGCACGTACTTCCAGATATTACTTCCTTGAGAGATTTAAGACAAAGTATTTTTCAACCGTTTTTGTTGATACAAAGACTTCTCGTTAAAATAGATATTCTTCCAATATATGTAGTCCTCGAGGTGAATCTGTTGACGTGTTTTTCTGTACTTTTTTCTTACTCTACTATATGTTTTTGCAAGTTTGATAAGTGGTGGCGGCCACGGTGCACGATATTTTTTAACCGGAATGAACTCGCCAACCCTATCTGACAGTGAAGAAAGAAAAGATGTGAGAAGAGAAAAAAATGTATCTGGATCCGTATTGTGAACGAGAGAATTAAAATATTTATATGTGATTTGTAAAAAATAAGTAAATAACCTCCAACTTGTTTTCTTGAAGAACCTTTTCTCTGACGCAGAGAAGGGGGCTTGTATTAGCATGGGATAGTGATCGGATGAGCCCTCATCGATTACCTCTGTCCTCCATCCTGATGAGTCGTGAGTGATGCCGAAGTCAATTATTGCTTCGGATCATCTAGAAGTTGGCTTTTCCGACGCAATCAGTTCGCATCCTGTATTCTCTAACCAATCTCTCAATTGGACACCACTCGCATTATTTTCCTTGCAGAGCCACTGAGTGTGCTTTGCATTGTAGTCTCCGAAAATGTAAAATGATTTGTTTGCAAATTTATTGAATAAGTCTGTCGGAAAATTTGTGCCTGGTGGTACATATATTGGACCTATGTGGATGGGGTCTGGTATTAGATCAATTTCAACAAAGATAAAATTTAAATCTTGATAAATTATTTTTGTTTGTAGTGTGTTGTGAATTAGCATAGCCACACCCCCGAAAGAGTCGGTTCCTGCCTGGCTGTTCCAATAGTACCCTTCTAGCTTGGGTAAATTCTTAATCTTAGCACCCACACCTGTCAGAATGCATATATGAGGTTTAAAAGTAGACATTAGGATATCAAGGTCCACAATATGAGTACTTAAACATTGACAATTATAAAGAATAAAAAAGAGATTATCACTATCACAAACAAGTCTCTCCTTATACCACTTCTTAGAAATATCAGAAAGAGAGATTTTACTATTCCATTCATCGCACATATCCGACAGTACTTTCTTCTCTCCACCTGTGCCTTCGAAAAACTCTAAGAGCACAGTTTTATCTACTATCGGCGAAGAAAAATAAAAAGTATTATTACTCATTCAAAGCCTGACCTATAGAGTTCATACTCTGTAAAAGTAAATCATTTTGTTTCATCATTAATGCTTGTAGCTTTTGATGATGATCGGTTAACAGTTCGAGGCGATCATTTAGTGCGTTAATGGTAAGATTTGTAGTAATTAGCATTTGATCATTCCGTTGTCTTTCATTTACATCGGTTACGTTGCAATTAACTTTTTCAAGTACTTGGTTAACAATTTGAATCGATTGAGTTATCGGTGTTACTATTTTACAAACCGCCGTATACACATCGATCACTGCCTCCGCCTGTGTCTTGATTTGCAGATTGAGTAAATACCATCCTTGGGCAATTCATTTCATTTGGTTGTCACAACTCTCTTTAACTTTTAGCAATTTTATTTCATGTTCACTTTTGATTTTATCAAATTCATCCTGTAATTTTTTAAGTTCGATACTAAATGTTGAAGTTAAATTTAAATTTGTTTGTAGTGGGGGAGCATTTGAAATCAGCGATGGCCATGCATTCATATTATTTTTATTTCATAATGTTGAATTTGATGTTTCACCTTGGAGGCAGAACTTCGACCCTCACCTAATGTTTGTTTCCCTTGTTGATCACGATATCGTTGAGGAAGAAAGAGTTGGACATGTGGTGGTAAGAAACGAGAATTGTTTTTCAATTTTTTGATTACTTCTTGACGAAAACTATCTATATATGTGCATTTGAAATTTATTGAGAATCTAATGTCCTGTCTACTCTATTTGTTCATTCTAGATGGACGTATTCATCTATGTTTTGCACATTTTTCGTGGTTGCCCGCTTTTGTATGGAATCCCAGCATATTTAATGCATCCTGCATGCTTTAAAGACAGCGGGACAACCTACTTTATGCATAAAAAAATGCACCTCATTTACATGGGAGAATGCATCCAAGCTGCCTCGATTATTCATCCACAGTGTCTCACTATGAATGCATAAAACTGGAATGAAATTATCAATCACTGTTCGAAACGAAAAATGTACACTTCCATTTTTTGGCTAATTGTCCGCATCATTGCCCACGGTATTGTATACTTTTCGAATTTGTCGTCACACAGCTTGTTAAAGTTCTCTGCAACATATATAGACAGTTGTTATATATTTATACATAAATATGTACGTTTTTTGTTTTATTAATGTATTTTCCTACTCAAAAGGGGAGTGCCTAAGCACAGTTTAACAACTAGTGTCGTACCATAATTAATTAATAATTAACTGATAGTAATGCAAAGATAATATATAACTAGCATTGTTAATTTATTTTACAGGAATAAATATGAATAACTTTTTCAATGTCGAGAGTAAAAAATAGTAAAATCTATGTAAAACGAAAAGGGTTCAAATAAGTTTCTAACATTAATAGGCTTGCAATGAAAAACTTTGATGAGCAAGTCAAAGATAAAATGTGTTTGGTTTACTAAATTTTAATTTCAATTTAATATTTATTCAATTAATCATTATCAATGAGGAGGGGGTAGACCTCATGGCGGCGCATACAGGTTGCTCACGTTGAAAAACGCTTGAGATGAAATCTAATAGTAACCCTGACGGCTCGAATATCATGCTTATCATATTATCCAATAATCAAATTATCCAGTAATCTGGTTAACGTGAACTGTTGCATCTTTCTCTATTCTATTCATTTTAACGAAAAATATCATATTTTCGTGCGTTTTACTCTTTTTTTTTTGTTGAATAAATGTTGACAGCTGTGTTTATTATTCTTAAATTCATTCAAATCAAAGAATAGTAATTAGAGTAATGTTACACGATAATCAACATGTATGTTATTACTATTTCAATTTTTCTTGGTTTTTTTTTTTCTTTGATTACATCAATTATTAAACACCTGATTTTTTTCTTTAACACCTACTTGTTTTCTCTTATTAAAATTATAATATATTTCTTTCATCTCTCTTTTTCTATAGAACTAATTGTACCAAAATGTAAAGCAAAGGCGAAAATTAAAAAAAAAATTTTGTTCTCTTTTTATATCATTAGCTGTTGTTATTCTACGCTTTCTTCCTTTCTCTCTCTTAAATATACAACTGTTGAGCATTAAAAAAAAATTCTTCTGGCATATAGAGAATAAAATATATTTCTACCATAACGTTCTTTTACAGATATTTGTGAAGAAAAAAAAGTATTATTTTATATTATACAGATATGTGTACTTCCATTCTATTTCCATGAATACAATACAATTTGTCAAAGTTCAAGGATTAATGAGACACCAGTCATTACTGTCACTCACCAACTTTATTTTATTTCACTTTGTTTTTTGTCAATTATGTTCAGCTTATACTCTTTCAACAATGCTGATAAATACAACAGCTCTGCCACTAGAACAACAGGTTAAGACACGTTTTTTGATTTGAATCAGTTGTAAAGGAAGTGCAACACACCGCAAGAAGTCAGAAGTGTTTCTAATGTTTTCTTGTTAGAAATACGTTTTTTAGAGTCAGATTTCTCTCTCCATTGCTCAAAATGTTTGTTTCCATACAACAAAAAGATTGAGAAAAAATGTTTAGACTCAAAATAGCAAAGGGAAAAACCCCCTGCCCATATGTATTTGCATTTATGGAAGATAGAGAGTTATCGATTCTGTCGAACTAAAACAAGAAAATTGAAAAATAGCTATGAGCTTTCACACGTTCACATTTGCACCACTAACACGATACATTTTTACGTACGCATTTTTGATCATCATCTAAAAACCTTCAGGAAACAACGCTATCGATCAAACAACAAAGTGAAAGCACGTGCCACATATCGTCTTTTTATACTATAAAAAGATCGAGTACATGCGGAGCACGTACTTAGTCAGTGCTTTTGAATAGTATACGAAATAATTGTTATGCATGAATAATTTCAGAGAAATTTGAATTATATTTGATTAGCTGTCTTAGGAGGCCTAAATTTTCTTAACTCTGTCACAGAGCGATCATTCAGCTTTAAACACACTCAAAAGTTCAGTGAAATATAATAAAATGTAGGATTGTTCTCTCTATACTCCTAAGTACAATCGCAGTCAAAATTTGAATATTTTCTTTTGCGCCTGACTAGCAACTGTATGATACAACCTTAGCCGACACTTTCCGAGCAAGCGATCCGAGAATTCCGAGAATAATCCGAACCCCTCAGAGAGTCTGTGAAATTATATGTTCAGCATTTTATTCTGCCACTTAACCTAATAACCCACCATTGTATTGAAAATTTTTAAAATATTGTTCATAGTGGTTTATTCGGTACAGTCTTGGGATAGATCCTATAAAAAGGGAAGCCTGTATAGAATTTGTGCTCATGAGTACGAAAAAAACCCAAAATCACGTCATGGATAAGATTCGAACACTTTTTATGTAATAGTATTGATAAGATAGGTGCTGTACAGTAAGGTTTTAATCTAGTACGGTAAAAGTGGAAAAATCGCATTTTCTGAAAAACTGATCTTTCGCAGTTTCTTTAATCCGGACAACAAAACAAACATTGCCACGGTAATCAACGTATCCGATAGCCTATGTGCCATGTGTTTTTAAGGTTCTCAGAGCCCAGGTTTGATGGATAGGTAGGTCCTTGGAGATTGCCTGTAGTGTACGAATCATGATAGATGGAGCTCTAGCACTCGTGTTATTGTAAAGACGGAAGTCTCTTCTATATAACAGACAAATTTTAAGCCTGGCTTACTATGCAAAGTCTACGAACGGCGAGCTCAGACTTTTTCCTTCGAAAGGTACACCACGATAAACCTGTTCTGGAAGCTTCGTCACTTCATAGATCTATGTGCCTTAGTGTCTAATTTAAGAAACTAAAAACCGGAGGACTCTAGCTCTTGTCGTTCAAAAGTTATCAACAAAATATCGGAGTCCACCGTTCATTGAAAAGGATAGTAGTGCAAGCGTTCCTATCGACTCTCACTTAGATTCAGATAAACTTTGCATAAAGCTTGTTTTCATCTGAAAATGAAAGCTATGCACTATCATCACTTTTTAGGCACTTACCCCTCCAGCTGAGAATGATCAACGAATTGTCATACCTGATGATCTGAGTGATGAAATAATAGATGATGAACTCTTATCTTCGGAATTAGAAAACAAAGAAGTAATTGTTAGTACTCTGTTAGAAGATCAAATATCTTCATTAATACCAGAAAGCTATCGTATTCCATCTTATCAACTGGATTGGCACTTTATCGATAAAAATACAATACGTGTAACGTTTCGATTATATTCATTTCCAAGACAAACGGATCAAAACAGACTCATTTCGTCTCCATCTACCACAATCATTAAAACTCGTAAGGGCAAGACGACAACAACAAGCACTACCACATCTACACCACCTTTATCATCAATTCATTATTTAAAATATTATGTGTTCGTTATCAAACATTATAAAACAATGAAAGAACGTGCTCTAGGTATAGAACCACTTGTCATTGTACCAAAAAATCAATCTATAAAACAAAGTGAATTCATATTCACAACATTACGGTTAACAGCGTTGAATAAAAAAGAAAAATATTCAGTTTGTCTGTGTTATTATCAGACAAATTCTACTGAACAAACACCTGACTTTCTTTTATGTCAAGATATTATTAATGATTATTCGAAATTTGGACATCCCAAATCAAACCATCATAATGAGTTGTTTTTTATCGTTACTCAATATTCCATTATAATCGCACTTCTAATTGCTCTGCAAGGCGTGTATACAATGAGAAAAAGACGTATTACACACATATTACATCAACATTTAACGCAAAAAGCTCATATGTTTCGTCATACAATATCGTCAATTAGTCTCGGTCGTCAATCATTTTCGTCGTTGGACACAGCCGCATCAGGAGCCGATCATCAACATAATCACCATCGAAATGGTAATAACTCATCAAGTATACATAAAGCAAGTCATGCTCTTGATGAATTTTATAAACTACAAAATGTTTTACGTGAACCAACGATAAACGAAGAACTCACACCGCCACCGGATATTGTTATTAGCAATGATGAACCAGAGGAAACAGTTGAAAAATCTGATTTTATTCGCGGTAGTAGCCCAGATGAAAATGAACCGTTTCTAAAACATTACAGTAAAAATTATGTTCATTTCCGATTGGATGATGGCACATCTGATGCATCAGATGAAGATAACGAAGAAAAGAAACTTGAACACCATCCTCATACAAATTTCCTGCATAGTAAGGAAGAGCGGATACCAGCTGAAGATAACGAAAATACGAGTCCCTATAATGAACAATCTGATGCTGTACAGTGTATGAAACATATATTAGATACTGCTAAACTATGGACAACGGCAAAGATTCCAACAATATCTGAAAAGTTATAGTACAACTCAAATAGTTGAACAACCATCTACGGCACAACAGCATACAAGGGTTTTCCATGTTAGTAGGTCAAATGTTTGACAAATAGTGAAGTTATGCAATGTCAATTATTGAGAAGTTTTAAATAGAATTAAGACAAGTCAGTTAACACGCAAAATTCAAGTTGAAAATTACTATTGTGCAAATATACTCATTACAAATACGTCTTGACACATGTAAACAGAAAAAATCCTGATAGGCCGAAAAAGGTTCGTTTTTTCAGCCAATTAATTCCTTTCTTGCAAATCATTCTACATACTATCTTTATCTTTGTCTTAACCTTACTGCGCACGAATTGGCTCATGTATCTTTCTTCTTTTGATCGCTAAAGTTTTGAGGTATACTGATAATCACTTTTCTTCCTTTTGTTCCTGTTTTCAGCTGTTGATTGTTTATTGTTGTTTTATTCTGTATGTGTCATCGTTTTTATTTTATGTATACGGACAATCGGCAATAATAGTGTACCATTTCATGATTCCCAAGAGTAAATTCGCTTTCTACTGAACCAGTTTTGAAAACTTGTTTACTTTGTCCCGTGGAACTAGTCTCCGGTCACCGAAAGTTGTGGCTGTTTATCTGCTACCTTTGCCGACATGGAGCTCGTTAAATCTTGCAAGAAAAGAAACACAGCGTTGAGCTCCAAACCTGGTTTAATCTGTTTCTTTGTAAACAAAATTTTTTTTGCACATATTTTCTGAAAATTTTGTTCTATGTCTTGCCCGCGAATGTTAGTTAAAAAAATTAGTGAAAGAGTTTAATTTCTTTTATTACTTTGCCTTTAACGGAATACATACGAGTGCAAAAGTGAACGGGATCAAAAAAATGTTTCTATTATGAAAGGATACTATTCGCCCTGTTCCTCCAGAATATTGAAGTGATAGAAAATGTTTTTTCAAAATACCTATCCGAATTTTGACAAGAAGTTACTGATGACGATCTAGAAGCGTGGAAATATATGCGTTGGATGGCATTAAATACATTTGGATTATGGTCGAAAATGGCCGAAAGACGCTCGACCTTTTACCTAGTCGTTCTTAGAAAACACTAATCCGTACGGAAAATTCGAAATAACCTCATTAATGGATAGAGCACATCATCTTGTATTAGAAAACATCGAAAAGTTATAACGACTCAAACAAAAGCTAGGCTAACAAATCATTAGCGCGAAATAGGCTCCAAAAAAAAGAATTCCCGCCAAATCTGTCCAGCCATTTGTAAAATTGAGTTTATTAATACAGTCACATGCAGATGAGCCGAGATTGACGCAGAGGAGGTAAACAGATTTTAATACCCTTTTTCTTTGGTTCAGGAGGAATACTTTTTTTGGCGCCTATTTCGCGCTAATGATTTGTTCGCCTAGTTTTTGTTCGAATCGTTGTAACCCGACAGAAACGAATTCTCTTTAATTCTTACCAGCCGGCTGTTTCGAAAACACAGCAAAAAGTGTTGCCAAATGGCAACATCAGGCTGGAAAGGGTTAAGCCGACTGAGTGAACGTAGAGAATTGTCGGCTGATTGCTTTTCTCCAGAGTCCGCATGTTCTTCTTTCTTTCTTTCTCTACACCTCGAGCGTGTTTTTCTGCCCACCGCTCTCGGTTATGTCTGATCGTACAGATTTGAGAAAAAGATTATTAGAAAGTAGAAGAGTCATACATGACACAACTAAAGTTAGTTTTCGGATATTTGCTTTAGTTATCCCATAATCAGTGGTACAAAATGACTATATTTTTCAGAAAACTCTATCGTTTTTCCTATGAGATAATTAAACGTCACGTGATATCGTTCGTAGTGAATCTATACTATAGTGCTTGATATGATGAAAGTTATAGCAGAATGTATGATAGGATAACGAATCAACTGATACGATAATGTGATAATATGTTTTAGAAGATAAATCTAGTTAAGATTCTTATTCTCTTCTTAAGCCACGTTCACACGAAACATTTTAACTTAGTTTAATCCTAATCTTTCCAATCTTGTCCCATGTGAACGCATTCAGTCCGTTAACTTACGAGGGAACTGCCCCAAGTGTCCGCTCGCTTTTTTCTTGAAATCTAGTGGAGAATAGGTTATCGACTATGCTGATTCCGAATATGACAATGGTTTTTGCTGCTAGGCCTTCGAAGACCTGGTTTTCTAGAAAACCAGTTTTTCAGAAACCCCAAAAAATAACCCGAACCTTTCTTAATGAGGCATGTAGCCCGCACATTTCTGATTAAAATGAGACCTAAGAACGGTTCGGGTTATTTTTGGGGGTGTCTGAAAAACTGGTTTTCTAGAAAACCAGGTCTCCGAAGGCCTAGCAGCAAAAACCATTGTCATATTCGGAATCAGCATAGTCGATAACATATTCTCCACTAGTTTTCAAGAAAAAAGCGAGCGGACACTTGGGACAGTTCCCTCGTTAGTTTAAGAACACAATTTGCCAACTTGGTTAACTGACAGATGTTTCTTGAAACATCTTATTAAAAACGTTTTTTTCTTTTTACCTGGACGGCTAAACTGTAGTACTTCATGTGTGTGGTAGGTCACGATATGCTAGGACTGAAAGTTACGCCTAAATTGCCACAATCAACGTAAACTCACAATGACACTAGCGACTTAGGCCTGGCTTTCAGTCCTAGCGTATCTTGACCTGTGTGATACTTAACCAAGTTTATAGAACTCGGTTAAGAACCACCTATTAAACATCGATCAGTCAGTGATTAGCTACATCTTCTACACATGCGTTATCCCAAGCGTCAAAAAAAAATCTAGCATTGCCCGATTCATCTAGGTTACTAGATTTTTACTCGATTGCAACTACTGTGTAACAACAATGGAAATCTAGTAATCGGGCGATTGCTACATTTCATCTAGTTGCAACTATCGACTTATCGCTCGATAATAGCTCGATTTAACTATTACTAGTTGCACCTGTAGACGCATCTAGTTAAAAGTCCCTTTTCCAACTAGTAATCTAGATGACAACTAGTCCTGTATCGCCCGATAACAGACGAAATGTATCTAGATTTTTCCCATAGATGATGTTTGCCTGGGATATGCAGTTTGAAGCGCATTTGTAGCTCATGCAGTGTCCCGCAAATTATTCGAGAAGGTAATTTTCAGTATTTTCACATTGGTCAATCCCTAGGAGCGTCTGAACATTTCGAACTCGGTTAGGATTTGGATTAAACTAAGTTGAAAAGTGTTATGTGAACGTGGCTTTACAATTTCGTTTCTGTCTTATTTGCTTCTCACAAGCGTTCACGCAATCGGCTAGTTTTGTCTCTTCGATGTTTTCTAATACAAGTTGATGTGCTCTATCCGATAATGAGGTTATTTCGAATTTTCCGCACGGATTAGTGTTTTCTAAGAAAGACTAGGAAAAAGATCAAGGTTGTTTCGGCTATTTTCGATCTATAATGAGTCCGAATGTATTCAAACGCCATCCAAAGTATATATTCCCAAGTTTGAAATAGCATACAAAACAAAGTCACACTGTGCAGGTGGACGAATAGTTTTTCGAGCCACTGTATGTATCAGACAATTTACCTTAGCTTTAATGCCTTTTCTGACTACGTCGACAAATTGTCAGATCAAACGCAAATGTGTTAAAAAGGTCACATTTAAGCAATTGTTATCAAGTACATCACTGCTCTATATTTTACCAATTTTACCATTTCTCTTTTAATCTTTTTTCGGTATAAAAAAGACAAAAGCTAAATACGCGCGAAGATGCACATAAACTTTTTTCTCAGAACAAATGAGAGCGCAAAAAAAAGCATTATACAAAAAAAAACATGAGAAAAAAAATGATGTATAACCTCTTTTTCTTTATTCCACACAAATCACTTCAACAATATGAAAAAGAGAAAGTCGTTAGGAAAAAAAAAAGAATTTCAACTCTAAGTTGACTGAAATATACACACAGAAAATTAGAAAAAGAATGGTTGAGATATGTATACACACGTATTTTCTTTAGAAAACACTGGAAATACAAAGTAGGTATGCATCTATCGTTTATTTTTGTAATATTGCATTCATATAAAAAAAAGAAAGAAAACAATCATAGAAAAACAAAAATATTCCGACAGAGATTCAACTTTGATAAGCATTGCTAATGACCGACCTGCAGATTATTTTACTATCAAGCACAGATATTTTGCAATAAAAAAAAAAAAACTATTGATTTTTTTCATTCACTCCCGTCGAAAAAGAAAAAGTATAAATCACTGTGCTGTATGGTAATTGAATAATATACAGTAGTTTACACTGTAAAAAGAAAGAACAAAAATAAAAAATAATTGAATAGTTTTTTTCTTTTCAATTAATTAATTAATTCTAATTGGTTTTTCTGGAAATAATGATTTTTTTGTTTTACGTGGATTAAGTGGCATTGACACTTGTATACCTAACCAAACCGTATCTAACAAGAATAAAAATATAATTTTAACATTATTTGTTATTATACATCTAATAAAATAGAAACATACTTATTATATGTTTTAATTCATTTAACTTGATTGTTCCTTCATTTTCGTCACATTTACATATTAATTTTGATCCATTGAATATTGAAAATCGATACTAAAAAAAAGACAAATGCAATCAAACAAGAGATTGAGAAAATTTCCTATCTGTTACATATACAGGGTGTTACATAACCTTTTTCTCCCCCCTTACACGACCTAAAGGACAGATAATATCAGAAAGTATTTATACCAGGTTAAAGCCCATCAAAAACTAGATTTATGAGTGTAATTGATATTCCGTATGATGTTTATTGGCTGTAGAA